AGGAGGCCCTTCCAACTCTTGAACATCTATGCCAAGAATCTTACTTGGCTCCATTCCGACATGGCTCCTAATCATCACTGCCACATGCACACGTCCTAACTTCCCGACTAAATTATGACCGCTCGAGGGCAGCAACCGCAGGCACAGAATTTTAGCTCCCTCACAGGGACGAGCACTGCACGTTCGCTGCGAAGGCCGCGGGGCACGCGGCGTCTCCTGTCTCGGTGCACTTGGTGGGTCTTACCTGTAATATCTGGACTGCAGGTAGGTGGAACACACAGCCTTGGACACGTGACTGGCCGACCCGAAGTCGATGACCTTCACCCTGTACGGCTGTCTAGATGGATCCACCAGCATGATGTTTTCTGGTTTGAGGTCGGCATGGATCAGACCCAGGCTCTTTAATTTCATCAGGGCTGTGGCTACCTGCTGGAGGACGGGGCGAATGTACTTGAGGGGCAAAGGGCTGAACTTGTTCTGCTTCAGAAAGTCATAGAGGTTCTGCTCCAGCATCTCAAAGACCAAGCACGTGTGATTCTTGTGCTGGAAGCACTCGTAGGCCCGGACGAAGTTGTAGTCGTCGGCGCTCTCGGTGCTCAGGCGGGCTAGGATGCTCACTTCAATCTGACCCTGCCGGGCATAGGACGGGTGGTTCTTCAGGATCTTGATGGCCACGATCTCATTGGTGCCCCGTTTCCAGCACTTGACCACTTGCCCAAACGTCCCTCGGCCCAGGAACTCTAAGACTTCATACGTGTTGGTCATGGAGCACAGCACCTCATGCTGGACTAGCTGATAATCGCCCTCACTGTTGGAGCCACTGTTTTTGGAGGTGGCAGTCGATGTGGTGGCAGTGGCTACAGTGGCCCCGCTGGCATTATTCTGAATCATGGGTGGATGCTCTTCGATGATCTGCACGCTGCTTGTGTTCTCAATCTCCTCACTCTTCCGCTTGAGTCCACATTTTTGGTAGGTATCAAGAAGGCTCACAGTGCTTCGACGCATTAGGTTATGGGGTCCGCCGAGGACCTGCCCAGTGACAGAGGTGCTGCTTGCTGATGTTACGACTATGTGCCCGGTGCTTCCTGGGAAGATGATGGTCTGCTCGTAAGGTAGGCTGGGGTTCGGGATGGGCAAGGAGGTGCTGACGGTTGTGGTGGCTGGCTGAGAAGGTGGTACGTTCTTGCTCTGGCTATACACTTTGCTGTGGGAGCCGTACCCAGTCATGTCCCAGTTGGAACTCGGCTCTACTTTCAGTTTCTTCACACTACAGAAGGCACTTGATTGAAGGGTGTGAGGGGAGAAAACTTGCACATGTGAGGCCATACCTACAAGAAAAAGAAAGGGAAACATAAATACTTTGGTCACCATTGCAGGAATAACTTCAACAGATTCATTTCCGGTCTGACTGATGGCCTGGGTCCTATAGGGTATTTTCCTTCTGCTTCAAAACAAGGTTGGAGGGCCGGCCGAGTGGTGCGTTGGTTAAGAGCCGGCTTGGGACGCCAGCTCTGAGCAGCAGGGCCCCGGTTCAGATCCCACATGAGGGCCAGTGACACTACCCTCTACAGCTAAGGTGGTGAACAACAGCTCGACCTGGAGCTGGGTTGTTGTGAGTTGCCGGCGACGGTGTAGGCTGCAGTGGAGCTGCAGTGGGCTGCCATAAGCTACCGTGAATGGCAGGCAGCCAGCATGAGCAGCTGACAGCCGGTGTGAGCTGCCAAGAGCCGCCGTGAGCGGCCATCCAGAGGCCAGCGACCGATCTGCCTCATCTGGGAAGAGCACAATGATAATACCAACATGGGCCAGTGAAGCAACGTCCTCCACAACTAGACTGAAGAACAAAAGGACAGCAACTTGTCTGTTCCCCNAATAATAATAAAAAAGAAACGAGTGCATGCGTGGGGGGAAGAGAGCGACAGGGAGGCTCCTCCCCAGACCCATAGGTGCTCGCACACCTGAACTCAGAGTGAAAGGACTCGCTGGGGAAGGGCAGATGTAAGAGCCTAGGACAGAGCAGCTGTAGCTCTTTAGGAAATGCCTCCCAAAGGGAGGATGGGCCAAGGCAGGGAGAGACTAGCACAGGTGGAGGGACCCAGAGGCCAGTGGGTCAGGATTAAGATGAGGAAGGTGAGAGGGGCACTGGGGGACCCGTGTCTTGTAGGTTGTCAACTGAGGCCACAGGTTGAGGGCTGGCGTGGGAGGAGCCCTGGGTGGGAGGAGCCCTGTGACAGCTCCGCCTGGGGCCAGGCCTGGCTCGAGGGTGAGGCGTCAGTAACAAGGAGAGCTGGTTATGGAGGTCCGGGGGACGGGCCAGCTGTGCCCACCCAGCTCCAGCACATGTTCCAGCCTTTTCTCCGTGGCCTGGAAGGAAGTATGGAGAAAGCACATCCACGACGGGAGTGTCAGGCACAGAAGAGTCCTGCAGTTCCGGTTTTACTGCCTACATGTCAGCCTCTTACACGTGCCATCAGCCCCATCTTCTCATGGGAGCTTCATTCCTTGCCCACATCCTTCTCACTGGACTGTTCAACATCACCTCAAACACAGCCCATCACTGTGTCCGCAGAACAGGCTGTCTTGCCTCTCATTCTATCTACTCCCTCGCTGCGCCCACAGTGTGCAAGGCACGGAGCGATGCACTTAAGCTGTGTCACAGCATGCCAGCATCCCAACCCCAGAAGGCTGGTGACAAGAGTTTTCCCAGTTTATGGGTGAGGACATGGAGGTGCAGAAAAACGAGGCAACAAGCCCAAGTCGCACAGCTTAGCGAGTGCTGGGGTCAGGATCAAACTCAGGTTTTCCTGACTCCAAAGCCAGTGCTCTCAGCTGGGTCCCACCGGAGCACCGGTTCTCAATGCTGGAACCTCAGAAAAGCTGGTAAAAACACCCATGCAGCCCCTCCCCACTTCCCCTTGAGAGATGGTGATTCCGTTTGTGGGGACTGAGACCCAAGTGAGGCGGTTTTTTAAAGCTCCCAGGTGATTTTAACCAGCACGCTAGAGACGCCCGGGTGGCGAGGGCCTTGGGTCTGCTGTCGTGCTGTATTCTGGTACCAGTGCTGTGCCTGGCTCATGTCAGAAGTGAGATGCATCCTGCTGAATGATGAAGGAATGAAAGCTCTGAACTGCCCTACAGTTCGCCCACCACCTTCCCATCGTCCGGCCCCCAGACCCGGCACTCTCTCAGCACAGGAGCCAGCCGGCGGGCGCAAGGCTCATCTCTCTTCTCTCTGATCCCTCCTCCACAGGATGTAAATGCCATCTTCTCAGAGCATCTCTTTCATCCTGTCACTGCGTGTTCAAATGCCTCAGTGCTTGCTCCATGTTTAAGGATACAGTTGTGACCCCTTAGTCTGATATTGAAGACCCCAACTACCTGGTCCCAACCTCTCCTTTCCAACACAGCTCGCACCACCCACAGGTTCTCTGTTCTGGCCAGGTGGGTGCCCTCATCTCCTATGCGAGTCTTGCGTTCCTGCTGGAGCGACTTCAGTAACGCCCGCTGCCCCCTCCCCTCCACCCGTGTCTGGATCCTGCCATCCACAAGGACCGAACTCCCTGCTT